AGGCGGAAGGAGCGTGGCAGGGTGCTGGCTTCCGGCCTACAACCAGAGGATCAGAGATAAAGTCAAGTGGTTACAGACACAGCAACCTTTTGGTAGCATGTAAATATTCGAAGTGCACGACAGTTACCTGTTCACTGTGAGTTATCCTCACAGCAAGTCAGCGCACCTTTCACTGTACAGACAACTGGGGGACAACAGTTCAACTGTCATTTTTAAAAGCCTTTGTTTTTGGTGGGTGGTTTTTTAAGTTTTAAAACCGTAAATGTTGGGCTTTGTATTTTGATGTAAACCCTGATGGCATTTGGGGCCTGTGACCAAAAACCAACCAAACTTGTAACCAACCACCGATCTGAATAAACCCATTCTTGGTCCCAAGTCGTGTGGTGCCTGGGCTCCACCCTGGGGTGGCATCCTACACGGGTCCCTGCTCACTCTGGGCAGCAGGGGTGGCCGCTGGGCACCCCCAGTGGGTGTGACCTGGAAGCACTGTGGTGGGAAGGGGCAGCCCCGCAGGGTCCCGGCCCCTGGTGGGGTCTGAGCCGTGAGAAGCTTGCCTTCCACTGGACAGGTCAGATGGGGTCAGCACGAGGAGCTGGGATGCCGGGATGAGCAACACCCTTCCTATGGTTCTGGAGGGTCACGTGGGAGCCGGGACCTGAGCCACGGGGGCATCTGGCCTGAACATTAGAGACCCCTTTTCCCTGGACAGGCCAGTTGCTTTGGTAGAATTTGATGGAGATAGGAAGTAAGGTGGCATTTCTACAAGTTCACACAGACAGTACCAGCTTTTGTTACCAGACTGAGGTGAGGGTCTGGGGTCTGACATCAGGGCACTGTTTGCTGACGGCACCCAACGATGAGGCCTCTGCAGGGCTCTGCTCGTCCCCACAACCCCCTGCCAGTTTCCCTGGTGCTCTTCCTTCACCTGGAAACATTCATGAACACTCTCAAAAGTGCCCCCTTCACCCACACAGCTGACATCTGTGAAACAGCCACCCAGTGTGTGCCACCCTCTGTGCTGGGGGGTATGGGGGGCTCATGGGCAGAGTCCAAAAGTCACAATGGAGCAGGGCGCAAAGGGCGAGTAGGGGACAGGGTTCTGGTAGTCGTGCCCAGGGATCCGGGGGCAGGGTGGCAGCTGGGACGCCAGTGGCTTCCCAGTGAGGGTGGTGGGGGTGTTGGGGACTCTACCTTCACAACAGTCCCAAGTTCCTCTGCACAGGACTCTGGCTGCAGAGTTGAGACAGACTGGGGATGGCAGACTTGGAAGTGTCACCAGGCCAAACGCTGCAGAGATGCTGAGGTTTGCAGCAGTGAAAGGGTTTATCCATGAGGCCACCAAGCCAGGCGCTGAACCTCGACCTGCGTCCCCGAAGGCATTTATGGGATGAAACAGGGTGGGGGCGTCGTGTGCGTCTCCACGGGAGCAGCCAGGCTCCGGGCCTCATCACCCGTGGGAACCTAAGTCCGTGACTAGTCCAACTAGAACTGCCCAGTTCTGCTCTGCTGCTCCCAGTTCATCCTGGCCCGCACCTGTCTGATCACATCCGCCTCATCAGTAAGGAGGGGTGATGGCCACTGCCTGGAGCTGCAGCTTTCGAGAAACATCGTGTTTCCAGGCTGCTCCATGTTCCCTTCCAACCTAGGATGCCTCGACAGACTCTGTGGTCCAGACCCCTGGGCTGCAGACCCCCTGCACAGACCGCAGACCATTAAGGCGATGAGGTCAGCTCCTCGGTCTTCCCGGTTGAACCCGCTAACCCGAGACCAAGCTGGGGGGGTCTGAGGCCTCCCCCCTTTCTTTGCTGCCAACACCCACTGTCAGAGCCTGGCTTCCTGCCAGGCGGGCACGTGAGCCCTGTGCTGGGTTTCAGCTGGGGGTGGGCGGTTCTCATCACACTTAATCAGATCCAGCGCAAACCGGACACAGCTGATGCCAAGTCCCTGCAGAACCAACCCAGGCAAACCTACTCTTTAGCCCCCGTGCGTGCTGGAGGTCACCCAAGTTTTGTAAAAACAATTACAGCAGCTTGAGGGGTGAAGACAGTACAGGTGTAGCGGGTCACTGATGCTGGCAGGGAGGCTCTCGGGGGACACGAGCCACGGAGACGGCCTCACAGAGGGGCCAGCCAGGCTGGGGCACCTGGAGGGAGACATACAAAGGGGAGGCTCCTGGAGGTGAGGCTGGAGATGGGGGTTCTCCCTCCCGGAGGCTACAGTGGGGGGATCGTGCCAACTGCCCACCCCTCAACTCCTCCACACCCCGACTCACCGTCTGGGTGCCTGTCAGACCCCCAGCCCAGAGCATACGCTGGACCCACTGTCTTTCATGACCTGTTTCCCACGAGGCACTTAGAAACATCCCAGCATCTGTGTCCTCTGGAAAGCCCTGGGTCTGGGCATCTGAAGTCTCCAATAAGCCCCTAGGCAGCCAGCCAAGTGGGAGATGCCCGCTCTCCGAATCCCTGGGCCCCACCACCCGAAAATGCCCTCCCTGCCCGCCTGTCTTCCGGGAGCCCAGGTGTTCCTGCTGAGTCCTCCTCCCCTCAACAGCAGACTGCCCCACTCGGCCCTCACCTCCCTCCGCCTCCCGGGCTCAACCACAGGTAAAAGCAGAGGCACAACTTTGTCACCTGCTTGGCGTTGGACGTTTCAAGATGCTGAATAAGTAAATACTTGTGACTGAATCTCCAATGAGTGTGTCTGTTCCTTAAGGACAAGTATTAGACTTTCTCTCTCCAGCGCTAAGCAAGCACACAGTAGCCGCCTGGTAAATACAGCCGTTTGACAAATAACTTATTGTACTGACTGTACCACATTCAGCTCCTCATCTCAGGAACTAAAGTATGAACTACTTGGACAAATTTGTTCATGAGCAGAAAATGACTAGGGTAGGGGAAGGGGCTCTTCCGTCTCATGTTGAACCAGAAACACGCGGCGTCCGCATTGGGAGGGACCCGTCCAATATCAGACCGCAGACCTGGGTCTCAGAGCGAACGCTAGAACTGTTAGGAGAAAACACACGGGAAAATCTTCAAAACCCAACAAATGACAAGAGCAATCCAGAGAGATGAAAACACGCACAATATGTGTTTTCCCATCAGATTATTTTTTTAAGTCCTTTCCTGCACACGGCTTCCCCTGCCCAGTCAGCTGCAAATGTAAGAACACGTGCCTTGAGGAATTTATTTCAAGGATGAAATGTGATTAACGCACAGGAACTCCAGGCTCTTCTACGAACACAGCGGGTGGAAGACAGGACATGTGCCTCCACGGTGCAGCCTCAGGCGTGGCTGAAAAGATGGTGATCGGCTCCCATTTGACATTCTTTTATGTAAATCAGCTTGGAATTTCAATTAGAAAACATTCTTCTGAGATTCATTTCCACTCTCATGGTGGTTCCTCAGCTACAGGGTGATCTGTCTCTGTGTTTCCAAGGACCCCTGTCTGTCTGTGGATATAGCTTGCTGACAGTGACCATGGGGGAGAAGACAATATTCTAAGGCTATTAGAAAACCTGCGTTGACAGTTGACATACAAGGATTTCGCAGCCACTGGGGAGGGCACTTCCCGACCTATCCGCCCCGAACCCACAGTGTCTGTTTCATCCTGAGGGCAGATGTCTGTTGTCTGTCACTCGGTCCAGGCAGAGGCTGCCCCGCTGCTCTAAGGTCACACTCATGATACATAGCGTTGCCACCAGGAGGCGGTGTTGCCCTTTCTAGACGCAGCGCCCCTGCCCCGGGAACCGCACAGGCCTCCGATTGATTCCGCACTGAACTGTTTCACGAATGGTCTGTAGATGAATCACTCAGTTTGTACCCTTTCAAGGTGGACTTTCTCCCACTCAGCACCATTTCCCAGAAGATCCTCCAGGCCGTCCTACACATTAAGTGTCCACCCTCTTCACTGCCCGGGGTGTCCCGGGGCAGAGCTGTACCACGTGTGCGGGACACACCCGCGACCCTTCACCTGCTCAAGGCCACCAGCGTAGGTTCCAGCTTGGGGTCTTTACAAGGGAAGCTGCTGTGACCATTTCTGTATCTATTTCCTCATGAGTTTCCACTGTATCCTCAGTCTCCAAAAGCCCTTTCTTACTCTTGTGCTGTTTCCTTTCTCCAGTACCTTCTTTTAGTGCGATGGTCCAGGATCATCTCTTTGAAGATACTAATCACCGCTGTAGGACACACATTCTCCTCTGATCCTGGCGTCCTCTCTGTTCCATTTGCATCCCTCTACTGTTTTTCCCTGTGAATGCGTGGTCCCTCATATGGCTTGGTTACACACTCCTGTTTAAAAGGAAGAGACTTTCAATGAGTTGGCTTCACTGAGGAGGAATCTGGTTTACCAGTCAGGATAAATTGGCCTGGGTCGTGGTAACAAACCACCCTAGATCCCAGTGGCTTAGCTCAATAAATGTTTACTCCTTGCCAATGCCACAGTCCAGTGTGGTCTTCGGGGAGGTGGGGGAAGGAGGGTGCAGGTCTGGGTCAGTCTGGGGAAAGGCTCGGAGCCAGGGGACAGGTGGAAGCAGGGCTGCTGGGGGCAGCTGCACCCGTGACATCATCAGGGTAGCAATTGGGATGATGCCCAAATGCAACTGGGCAGGACCCCAGGGGGCCTTCCTGGGACAGACCCCTGTGTCCTCCGCCTGCCTCTTGTCTATAGAAAACCTTTAGCCTCCTAAGCTTCCCCAAGTTTCAAAGAATACAGTCAATCAGAGAAGTAAGAAAAAGCAGAAACAAAGGAAAACAGTCAAGCAAGACAAAATAATCATAGTTTAGCCATGAAACAAAGTCAAGGACCGTTAGTTTAGCCATAAAACAAAGTCAAGTTCCTCCTCAAGGGCTGTAGATGATATTCTGAGCCTTGTCCTCTGAGCTGTTTTGCAGATACTGAACCCTTACCAGGTGGAAGGAGTTAACTGTGTGTTGCCCACAAGCACATGGACCACAAGCTCCCCAGACCAGCTTGAAACAGGTTGATGATGTTGACTTCCGATGACCCCACCACCAGCCAATCAGAAGAAAGTCAGTGAGCGTTCACACACCCACAGCCCCTCTCCCTCACCTTGACTTTAAAAACCTTTCCCTGAAAGCCTTTGAGAGTTCAGCCTTGAGAGCACCAGCTGCCTGGACTCCTTGCTTGGAGCCTGCAGTAAACATAGCACTTTCCTTCACCTCAACCCGGGTCAGGAGGTTGGCTTCACTGTGTGGGCGAGTGGACCCAGAGTTGGTTCCGTGACACATATTTCTGTCTGGGTTTGGACAGTTCTCCTGGCAGGCAGTGGGTTTCCATGCCGGGGCTGTGGCATCTTCAGATCACACTTTGTAGTTTCACATCAGTCAGGCATCGTTTCCAGACGGCTGCGCGTAAGAACAGGGAGTTCTGAGAAGTCTGCCTTTGGCTCCTGGCCACCTACTTGTTAATTTCTTCTTGCCTGTGAACGGACACCCAGGAATGACCAGGCATCTGTGGAATGTCTGCAACATGAAAAAGAGACACTGTGGTAAATAAGACGAGAAAAGGACCCTGGAGGAAATCTGGCTAAAATAGCACACTCTAGTATCACCAGAAAGATCGAAGATTACAGATACTAACAAACCATCAATATGGTCTAAGTAAAACCACAGATGCAAAAAAAAAAAAACCCAGCTTTTGAAAGTTCGGAAAATATAATTGTAAGTAGGGAAACTGGAAGAAAATATTTGGAGTAAATATCCCAGAAAGAAAAGAAAAAGCACAAAGAAATGGAAATATAAACACAGGTGTGTCACTCAGCCTGGGAGGCACAGCATTTGGCCAGGAGGGATTCCTACTAGGATGGGAGAAATTTTCAAAGAGATGATGGGGGTAATTTTCCAGAGCTGGAACACTTCAATCTCCAGGCTGAGTCATCCCAAGGAGTGCTGGCACCATGAACAAAGAAGAAAGGCAGATAGGAACATCACTGTGAAATCTTAGAACCCAAAGACAAAGAAAGATCAGACCAGCCTCACGGAGAAGGAAACACCAACTTACCCACGAAGCAACCAGCATCTGACAGGCATCAGACCAGAATAGACAAATGATCCTGAATAGACTTCAAATGCTGAGGGAAAAGTATTTTAAATCCAGGCTTTCATACACAAAATTATTAGAGGAGTTTCAGGGCAAAGCAGACTTTTTCAGGCACAAAAAATCTCAGAAGATCAACCTGCTCACACATCCTTTCTTGAGAATTTGATTGAGGATGTGCTCCAGAAACACCAGAGTGTAAGTACAAGAAAGGAACAAGGCAAGGGATCCAGAAAAGAGTAGATTTTTATCCAGAGAGGCGAGGAAGGAAGTCCTCTCATGATGGCTGTGTCTGGAGAGCTGGTGTAGATGGTGGTATAGATGCAGGGTTCTACGAGGGACACGGCCAGGAAACAAGAGACTGGAGAGGCTGACTGTGCCCTGGAGAATCACTTCAGGCAACGAGGAGATGAGATAATTCAAGTCCTGACACGGCAAATGGAAATTCTAAGAAAACAGAAGTATAACATGTTGATTGACTTTAACCTTTTAGAATCAACATATAGAAACAGTACAATATATTTCATTATTGTCATAGAATGGTGTAACATTATCAACCTTGATGATGGAAAAAAGAAAATGAGATAGAAGTTGTGATCTAGGAATGAGAAGGGTTGAAAAGGCAAAAGAGAGGAACTTACATCCTTACTTCACAGATAGTGGAGCCAAGAGACAAGGAAACAGGGATAGATGTGGGAGTTTGAGATTTGCAAATATTAACCATATATATAAAAACAGATAAAAAACACATTTCTTCTGGACAGCATAGGGAGCTGTATTCAATATCTTGTACTAACCTTTAATGTAACAGAATATGAAAACGAGCATATGTATGTGTGTGCATGACTGGGGCATTGTGCTGTGCACCAGAAATTGACACATTGTAACTGACTGTACTTCAGTTAAACAAAAAAAGTCAAGGAAGCAAAAAAATGAAGGAGTGAAGATTACAAATATAAATAATAGGGAAGATAATGATAATATTAAGACTGTATTAGAAGGTAGGGTTGGCGATATTTGTGAGTTCAAGCCTCATCTGTCAGCACAGGAGCCCAGAGAAAGTGGTTCTTTTTCATAAATCAAGACAGAAAAGCAAAAGCCTCTCATTGAAAGCTATGGCGGAAACAAGGAGGAGAAGCCCTGAATACAGAGTGCTCGTGTGAAGAGGGGCAGGGAAGACGGAAGCTTTCCTGGCCTGGTAGATTTTTGAAAATCTTGATTATGTGTTAACTTCATTGGGGAATATCGCGTCAATTTTATTGAGGAATACATACATTTAAAATAAGCAAAGGATAAAACACGTGTCTGTCTGACTTGCCTGTCTCAGGAAAAGCTCTGTTGAAGATGTCGTCCATCATATTCAATAAATCAGTGTTTCATATCCAAACCACCAAACGCAAAATCCCTCCGATTTGGTGCCTGAGAAATCTGTGTGTCTTCCTTTGCCAGCCAATGAAAATTCCATTCCACAACGACTTTTCCTTTTGCCTTAATTGTTGGAAACTAAAATGTTAAAGGAGTGGTTGGCCGTGAGAAATGACTTTTCTCAGGTGCCTGGTAACTCTCCTTTCCTCAGCCTCTCCCCTGCATAATCTCATTCACTTGTTCCTCAGCCATTTCACTCTACGTGGTGTCACTGTACCTGTTACCGTATTGTCTCTTAATGTGTAGGAACTGGCAACGCAATCTAGATACTTCTCTTTTCTCTGTTACGTGTGTTCTAGGTATTTTCTCCAGGCCTGTTATTTATTTGTCTTCTTAATTTGGAAGCACAGGAAATTTTTTATAGAGTCAGAATTATCAGTCCTTTTTTTTGTCCCGGTTCCAGCGTTCTGTGCCTTATTAAAGAAGCTCTTCCTAACTCAAGGTTAAAAACAACTTTAAAAATATTTTCTCTTAGTACAGGACTAATTTTTATAAATTAGATTTTTACATTTAGCTCTTAATCCACTTGGAATTTATTGCTGTGCATGGTGGGGTATAGAAATATAACTTTACTTGTTTTTAAATGGAAGTATAGTTGATTTACAGTGTTCTGTCGGTTTCAGGTGTATAGCACAGTGGTTCAGTTATACATGTACGTATATTCTTTTTCAGATTATTTTCCATTATAGGTTATTACAAGATACTGAATATATCCCTGTGCTATACAGTGGGTCCTTGTTGTTTATCTATTTTTTATTTAGTAGAAATCTAACTTTACTTTTGACATGTGGGTAACACTGTGAACAACTGAGCCAGCCTTTCACCACCAGTTTATCATACACCACATGCCTGCACACCTGCAAATGTGGGGGTTTTTTTAATGCTTTTTTTTGGAGGTGAAGGAGGTAATTAGGCTTACTTATTATTATTATTATTTTCAATTTAACTGGGGACCAAACCCATGACCTTGTACGTGCTAAACATGAGCCCCACTGCTGAGCTCTACCCTCCCCACTTCGCCAGTGTGTTTCTATCCTCTTCTAATCCATGGAGCCCCCTCTTTCCTTGGCCCAGTAGCATCCTGTTTGAAAGTGTGCTAAAGAGGCATGAAAATTAATGATATGATTCAAATTTGTGGTAACATTAAAATATTCATAACATCCCACTTTGCAAGGGAGTAAAGAGATGGATATCCTCTCTGATGCTTCGTCACAGTGTGAATTTGGAACAGGAACACTATTACTTAGCCCAGGAGAGCAGAAGGAGGAACAGCCGGGAGAATACTATGGAATAAAAAACAAAGACAGGAACTCTTGAACTCGCTGGAATGTTCTCTAGGACGTGCTATTAAGACATAAACCAAGTTGCAAAATGGATGCCAGGGTCCTGTTAAACAGAAACAGTTAAAAACCACAGCAGATGGGGGGAGGGTATAGCTCAGTGGTAGAGCACATGCTTAGCACGCACGAGGTCCTGGGTTCAATCTCAGTACCTCTGTTAAAAATAAACATAACAAATAAATAAATAAACCTAGTTACCACCTGCCCCCCAAAACCCAAAACCACAGCAGACAAACCTGAGTCCTACCCATAAGTGTCTGAGTATAAGTAGGCAAACACAGAGAAAGCTCAGGTACTACCCTTTCCTTTCTCGGGATGGGGGTGTAGGATGGACTTTGGGTTTATCGTCCGTGTTTGAGTCACTTCTACCACGGTGGATGGATTTTTTTGAGTGCCTGTGGCCCACCTGCACCCGCTCTTCCCTGTAGGAAGCTGGTAGGACCACAGGGGCAGGAGAGAGCTTAAGATTGGACTCCCTGGGTTTTTTAACTTGCCCACACTGAGCCAGATCAGCAAGACAGCAATTACAGTTTACATTCTCCGGTCCTGGTACCGGATGCTGTGGAGGTCTCTGCATCCTACGCAGTAAGTTGTGACTCTTTGTACCGAGCTGTCTGTCTCTCCAGTTTGGGGCAGTGGTTTGCCCTGTGATCTCAGTGCTCTGGTGAGTCTCATAAGAGTCACTGATTTTCAGTTTGTTCAGCTCTTTTATTTTTGTGTTGGTGGGAACGATGATGTCCAAGTTCCTTGCATGTCGGACCAGGAAACCAGAAGTTCAGATATGGTTTTAGTTCTAGGATTTCCTTTCTAAAATATGTTTTTACAATTGTTTTAAAAATTCTCCATGGTTTCAATCACCATAGCCATCTTTTTCTGCAGATTCTAACATTTCTTATAACATTTATTTAACATATTTATTATAAATTCAACATATTCAGTACTTTTATGTTACTTCTATTGTCTAGAATTATTTGTGGATCTGTTTCTGTTGACTGAACCTGGACTTTTGTTGAATCGATCACATTTGTTTGTTCCTTTCCATGTCTGGTTCTCATGATTGTGTTTCTGATATCGTGGATAATGTGTCACTGAGACTCTGGGCTCTGTTACCATTCTCTGGAGCGTGTTGAAGTTTGTTGTCTAGGCAGTTGAATTACTGGAAGAGCACCATGAACCTCTACATTTCATTAGGATGCATATATTTTGATTTTGTCCTTATTCTTAACGCAGATCCCTTATTTCTAGAACACAGTCTTTATTCCCAAGCTGTAGCCCTGTGGGGGTTTAAATGGGAAACGGAGGCATTACCAAGCTTCTCTTGTCAGTTTCCATGCTCGATCCCCTTGGGAGCCGGCAGCAGCTACTCTGTTATTTTGGTGTCTCGTTATTTGTCTTGCCCTGGGATCTTTGGAATCTTGCCCACATCTGGCATCTCAGGCCAGCCTCGTATTGAAAGGAGTTTATAGCTCCAAACTTCCCAGCATCCCTCTCGTTTGCAGCTGCAGCGGGGCCCCCCAAGCTCCATCCTCCGCCCTCTCCAGCCAATAAGCCTGTGGCTTCCTGTTCGGGTCTGGATGACGAGAGAGAGCTCTCAAGCAAAATCAGCCCTCTTTCAAGAGCTAACTTCCTCCAGTTTCCGCCTGCTTTTTGTTCTACCCCAGTGCCTGCCGACAGCTGTTTCATGTATTTAGTTCACATTTCATAAAGCGCTAGGGCTCTGCAATTATTAGAAGTGGAATTCCTTTGATTTTTGAGCTTGTAATCGTACCGTCTATTCAAAAAGTAAAATATTAAAACACAACCAGTGAACAAAATTAAATATTAAGACCTACTGTAAAGGCAGACAATTCTCTGGTTTAAGAAGATGCCTGTTAAGTCAGGTGTACTCACTGCGCCCTGCCCCACCCCCTCCACAGCCCCGCCCCGGGCACTCTGGACCCGCCCCATCGCAACCCCGCCCCGCCCCAGGCCCCACCGCATCGCAGCCCCGCCTTAGCACCCAGGCCCCGCCCCATCACAATCTCGTCCCACAGCCCCAGGCCGCGGCCCCGCCCCCAGCGCTCAGG